GGATGAGCTTAGAGATATATATTTCTTAATAGTCGAACCAGTTTTATTAAAGCTTCTTTAGCAGTATCCAAAGCTCGATAATATAGTATTTCTCTATATTATATTCTATCTTAGCAAATTTATTAGAAATATCCTGAGCCTGATTTTTTATTTTATCTACTGTATTTCCTACCGTTTCTATTACACTATTAATGGTACTGTTACCTATATTCTGTGTACTATTACTTATATCCTACAGTTAATAAAATATCTGAAATAGACCTTACTACCGCGGCTAAGGAATTATCAAAGATTAACTATTGTAAGATGAGTCCCGTTAATTTCTTCTCTAGAGTTAATCTAAATCCTATTAGATTGGCCTATACAGTCAATTACTCAATTATATACTTTTCAATGGAATATTATATATTGACTTTTATAAAATACAGTTCACTTTAAGAAGACAATATATAGATATAGCTAATATCCATAAATATAAGATATATTAAGCTAGCAACTGAAAAAGCATAAGACAAGACGATATATAATAACTTTCTTATTTTATCTATAAGTTATAAAAATCCCGCGCTTTAGTAACGAAGCTGGTATATTTAGTGCCCTAAGAAGCGAGTTACTAAGAATAGTCTTTAGTTATTAACTTAATCTTTTAAATTACTACTTACATATACCTACAAGCAGCGTTTTATATTTATCTTTTTATATATATTTATTCTTTAGGCGATGGTTGCTATAGTAGTTGATAGGTCTTTAATTTATGGCTCTATTATCTTAGTAGACCGTTAACCTTTACTAAATAATAGTCTCGAATAGGTGAGGTCTACAGGCCGGCTTTTAAATACTGTAGGGCTATAAGAGAAAGACGGAATATATATAGTAGGATATTTGTAAACATTCGCGTTCTATCTCTTTATACTAGGAGCATAAGACAGTAGCTTTTTCTTATAGTTTTAGCTTACATTTGTAAGGGTATCCTGCATTGGGCATCTTTCCATTGCAGACAAAGATTCTATATCTATATCTTTTAATTTCTTCCTACCCGCTCTTCTTTATCCTATAGCAGATACTCGAAGCCACTTGTCAAATACTACAGCAATATATTCAAAATTAGCTTTTCTAGCTTAGTCCCGACTTCATCGTGGGCTATAATACTTTATTACAAGGACCTATATATCGATATATTATATTAACTATTTTTTTTACATTTATATTCTTGGCATACAGTTATTTATCTGTCATAGATTTATAAATATGATCTTGCATAGCCGCAATTGTAGCTTGAAATTTTCTTTTACAAAATAGAACACAATACAACGATGGAGTATAACGAGTCATTACACACCATTTATATCAGTCCTGCTAACTACCTCCGCTAATAGGTAGTATAATAGGTTAATTGTTTATACTCTGGGTATTCAGCACTAATATTCGATTTCCGAGTTCGAATAACGATTTCTATAATAATTACCGACAATATGTCGTAGCTCTAGATATTTAATCTTTTTACCACCCAGAATACCAACTCTATTGTGCCCTAAGTACTGCGTAGCCATCTATAGCTATATATACGATAAATAAAATAATGCGCCAATTATATTTTAAATAGTAGTAGCGAATCTTCATCTCTCTCTGTGTTAATGTCTGTTATTAATAGAAAAAAATACCCGTATCTCGAACCTCTAGCAATTTGTAATGGTATAAAGGGCAAAGCGCGTAAGGAACATCAATAGATAGTATTTACCTATATAAACTCCTTCCCATCGCTAAATACAGTGTATCCGAGTAATATTTACTTAGAGATATATAATTCTTCTTACGTTGCCACGGTCCTAGGTTCTATTTACATAAAGTGTAAGTATTATTAATAGTCTAAGCTCGCGCCCATACCGTGATATTCGAAATTGCCTTCTATCCAAATCACTCTTCTGTTTACTTAGAGCCCCACTGCCAAAACTAGGGCCCCGCAATCTAATCTTTCTTAGCAAGACTATTACAGAGCGATAATACCTCGTCGTATCATCGCACTCTTAGCCTAATATTATATAATCGTTACAATACACCTTATGATAACAAGGGCAAAGAATTTAATAGAAAATTTGACTATTCTCTACTATTACAACTACCTTAACTATATAAGTATCATCCTATCTAGACCCTTATTTTTAGAAAGATATTAAAAAAATTATAAAAGAGAAGTTTATCTTATATAATTAACCAACAACCTTGTTTAGCGTCAGTAATATACGTAATTATTATTCAGAGATGTCTATTTACCCACTCCAAGCTGACCAATCATATCACTATATTAAAAAACTAGTACCAACAGTTCGCCAGTTATTTATAATTTCGATAGTTTAACTCCACCGAGTAGAGAAGCAAGGATTAACTTAATTAAATAAAGTACCAAGGAGTATAGTGCTCTGGAGTGTTGACTGGGCTAGGTTAAGCTATAATATATTAATCATATTAAGTACATATTTTATCTAGCTGCTGAAAAGGCTTAACATAGATCATCGTCTCCGGAAAAACCTTACAAATATCCGTCGTTTACCGCTTGTGAGAGGTTTAGAGTTTAATTTTTTCTACGTAAAAGGGTGATTGTAGATGGGCAAGGCAGAAGAGACTTCGGCTAGAGTTTACTATATTAAATATTTTGATAGGAAATTCACTGCTATTTGCCAGTCTCTAAGGGCTTTAGAGAAGAATATGGTATATAGGTTATCTAAACCCAACACGTTGCGGCAGAGCTCTACATACTTTTCTATCAAAGCTAAGACGTCTTGGGCCTTTCCTAGTAGATTCCATGTATAGACAAGGTTAGCCATGCTGGTCAGAGTGTCTAAATACTCTGGCCCTAGTACTTACTTACAGAGCTCCATCACCTGTGTCTCTAACTCTTCTGCTTCTTTCCATCGTCCCTGATACCGGTATGTTGATGCCAGATTATTCATGCTGGTCAGAGTATCTAGATACTCTGGCCCCAGTACTTACTTGCGGAGTTCCATCACCTGTAGCCCTAGCTCTTCTGCTTCTTTCCATCGTCCCTAATATGAGTATATTAATATTAGATTGGCCATGCTGGTCAGAGTATCTGGATGCTCTGGCCCCAGTACTTGCTTGCGGAGCTCCATTACCTGTAGTTCTAGCTCTTCTACTTCCTTCTATCGTCCGTTATTATATAGACACATCCTAATATTTATAATAAGATTAATGTATTTCTCCTACTCTTTCTGGAACTCAGCTTCTGCTATAAATAAAAACGCATATAGTAAACATTCCTATCACACCTTCCGATTAGTATAGTCATTATTTGGGAAAGCTTTGTTCAATCGGTCCGCAGTTTTCAATATTTGTAGATTAAACTGTTTATTCTTTCTTATCCAGTTCTAAGTTACAAGATAGACTAGTCAATGTAAATTTAAAGAACAATCCCTACCCTCCTCGCTAATAAAGAAAAACGCTTTGAAAAGGCCGATAGCATCAATTCTCTTCTTAATTAAGTTTAGCTGGGAAAGTAAGAACTGTGGAATATCGCGAGGACTGATATAGGCTATAAATAATAGATAATCCACTACAAGTTCATTTACTCGCTAAATCTACTAAAAGAAGATAAACTAGATCAAAGCTATAGGGTTCTAAGTGTCTTTATATTGTCTTTTATTCCTAAAATCTTTACTTAGTAATTCAATTATATTTAGCTCCTGGTTCTGTAAAAGTTTAATATAGTCAAAAAGGTTGATATTATTTTTATTAATATACGCTGCTGCCTAGATAACCGCTAGTAGAAAAAAGACTAACTACCTAAGAAAAGTAATAGCTATATTATAATTATTAAATAGATTTTTTTTAATTAGTAAATTTTGTAAAATTTTGATAGCAGTCTCTGTGTTTAGCTCAGATATTATTATTATATAAAAAGATACTAGCTTTACAGCTATTTTCCAACTATATATAGTAAAGAAAATATAGCCCTGCTCATTTTAAAAGAGAAAGTCCATTAATACTAAATTATTAGTGTTGTCCTTGCTCTATATTTCTATATTATTAATATTATTAAAAAGAAGACGCCACTTCCCAGCACTCTCCTAGCTAAAATAAGTCTTGACTTTTTCTTTTACCTCTGCCAGCTTTATATCGATTATTTCTAGCTTTAAGACTATGCTCATGTAAGCTTGTTCTACACTCTTATAGCTAGTATATATAACCCAGAAAATCGAGTATTTAGGGTCTCGTTTTCGCATATGATAAGTTAATTTAAGTATAATTTAGATCTTCCTAACTCCGTTTAGTCCGTAGATAGCAACTTTGCCTAGTTCATTCTATTATATAATTAATTCCTCAGTTCTGGTAATTTCTTCTTCCCGACCCACGAATCGCGGGTTTTTTCTGAATGGGACTATCCAAACTGGTTATTTTGATTCGTATGATTCCTTTTTATAGTAGTAGATAGGTACTATTAATAAAAAAGCCTTCGCATAGACAGTAATAGCAAGGGCCACATATCTTTACCACTATTTATTCTTGTAAAAATCACAGTAGTTATATATGCTTTTAATAGCAAATAATAGAAGTTCATCTATAAGTTCAGTAATCTCTATTTCAAAACAGAGTACGTCTAAATCCTAAGCAATAAAATCTCGAGTCTTGGTATTTTTTATAACCTGATCTCCAAAAGCAATTAAGCTATAATAAAAGTAAGGATTATCAGTTATCCGCTCGGGATAATTTACTAACTGGGTCGGATCATAAGCCGAACAGTTATGTTCGCTATTCTCGTGATTATATATTAACTGGAATAGCCAGTTATCTTTCGGTCGCGAAAACTGTTCTCTCATTTCTTTGTATTTATACAGTATATTAATCAAGATTTTGCTAATTAGTCTTTTCCCTGTCATATAATCACTCTCTAATTAAGATACGGCCTTTAATAACACTAGAGAAGGTTTACTAAGCGACCCAATATACTGGAATCATCCGCCACGAAGTGTCTTGCTGTAGTCATATTAAATAATACTATTTAAAATAGTAGTTAACTTACTAATTATAATATTGCCAAGGCAAATATCAACACTTTGGCTCGGGACTCCATCTCCAATACCCATCATCAATCCGAATCGGATACTTCGAAAGGTAGAGATCATATATAATACTATAGCTGCAGCGGATATTGTCCTATAAATATTACCAGACAGATAAGCCACTACTATATTGTGGTTACTAACCCTCCCAAATATGTAGACATTATGGTTGGTTTCTGGCTGGGAAAGCGGAGGGTGAACCTCGTCTAGTATAGCCTTCGCAGCCGCCATTTCCAACGGCAAGGCGCAGATCTATACAACCGTATAGTTATTGCGTGTGAATACCATCTTATATATTATACATAATAAAGAGATAAAACTTAGAGAGAAGGAATTAGATACTAGTCTTTAATTAGAGGGAAAGAAACATTTATTACAGTAGATATTAAAATTATAAAATAAAATTCTTTAACGGCATTTTCAATTTCAAGATTTAAAATTCGAGGGGTTATCTAATATATATTACTGCAAGGCTGTCGATTCGAAAGTTAATTATAGTCTTGAAAATATATAAATAAGTAAAATACAAATAGAGAAAGCGATATATATTAACAGTACTCAAGTAACTCCAGTTTCTTAAGATAATCTCTTAAGAGCCTATCAATAGATATATATAGATATAGTAAATAAGTTGCTAGTTATAGTAATCATAAAAAAAAAAAAAAAAAAAAAATAGAAGCCTAAGCTACTTTATAAATATTTTAAGAGTTTCAAGGACAATACTATACCCTCTTCGAAATCGGAATAAATATCTCCAACGTCTTGACACAGAGGTTTATCATAATTAGTTAGTTAGGAAAATTTAGATATTAAAAAATCGAAGCGTTGGGCACTACGGCCGAATCTATTAACTATATTATTTACTAGGATCTATATTTTTTCAAGAGTAATTCCAACGTGGTAAAAATAATCCTCCGCGCTCTGTTTTCTTGCGCCTACAATATCAATGCACTATTTTAAAAATATATTAAACCCTTGCTCTGGGTCCTCTTCATATACCTTCCAGTTACGTTTAATAAAGGCTTTTAACTTGGTAAATATCTCTTCAATGGGATTAAGATCTAGTAAATATAGGGATAAATATATTAACTTTACCCTAGCATCGCTGCATATCTGTTCCAAGCGCTCAAAATAATAAAACGACGCATTATCTATTATTAGCACAGATTTAGGCTCCGGCCACCTCCTACAGTAATAAAGCAGCTGTTCCACAAAATCTTCAAATATAGATATATCAGTGGATCCCTGGAAGACTCGCGTAAGAACAACGCCGTCTTGTATATATGCAGGCAGTATTTGATATCGTTGTTCGCGATGAAACCGAGAGATCTGCATTGGTGTCACTCCAACAGGGGACTAAGCCGTGCGTCTAAATCCAATCCGCTTGTCACATCCCGACTCATCAATATAGATAAGATAATACGAACGAAAATTGGACAGATTATGGAGATAGTAGTCCCGTAAATCTGCATTACGCTCTTGGGCAATCCGACGAGCTGCTTTTTTAGACTATTTTACTGATATAAGTACCCTCCTAATACTGGCGGTTGTTACTAAAGTATCAAACTTATCCCATAAAAAAACCGCTATTTCATCGAGGTACAGATCAGGTTTTGCAAGTAGATATTCACGAAGTGCGTCCAGCATAGGTAGGGTAACTATTCGTGGTCGGCCGGCCTTATTTGGAGGTGCCTTAACACTGCCGAAATATCGCAGGTTAGAATAGATATATCGAATACTGCGCTTACTGCAGCCAGCCACATTAGCTATTTAAGCAATAGTCAATGACTTGTTTATAATTATATCGCGAATAAGCTCATACTAAGATGCCGCAAGATTCGGGGCCATTTAGAATACATGAATAGCTTATTAGCAAGCCAGATTACAGAAAAGAAAGCGAAGACAGGAGTGTGTTCTGCGGGAGATATTGTAATATAGATTGGTTACCTATAATACGATATAATTATAAATAATCAAAAGTTCCAGAATTAAACAGTGCCGATAACGTTTAAAACACAGCTAGTACTACCAAGGTAATAAAGTTCAGGAAATAAAGCTACAAAATAATTGATAAGTATTTAAGACGGAAACCAATTTCGAATCTTACGGTACTCAAGATTCTTGGAGTCTACACTCTTCTACTATTTACGAAAGATCTATTCCAGGACTATAATTGTTAATTCTTCTCATTTATCTCATCCTTAGCTCTATGCTTAGATATATATATATAGCTGTGACCCTTAGCTTAGGTCTTTAGTTACCATAAAACTTACCAATTATAGTAACCTTAAACATAGTAGGCGAGAACTCTTTGTATAATTATAAACAGGCCTTCAGGTAGACTTTGGCTCGCGGAGCTTTTATCAATAGCTGATATCAGTGCCACATATTTCAGTATTTATATAAATACTACTTAAAAAGTCCTTTCGTTATAAAAGTAGCAAAACTTCTCCAAGATTTATTATCCAGTTATCTTAAGTCTGGCAGTGAACGTACTAACAAGTAACATTGAAATTCATATCGCGTAGGGTTACTATATTTACTTATACCCCGGCTGTTCCTCGACTTCGCATAAGATATCCCCTGTCCTTCCCCCGATATAGTCACCATAGTCTTTCTTAATATAAGGCTTTAACTTATACGGTCTCAAGAGCTAGTTTACTTTTATTACAAGTAGCTAGTAAAATAAATTTAAGAAAGGCTTTATATACTAGAGAGAGGAGAACCGGGTATTAAAACCGCTGTATAGAGAATATCTGATGTAAAGACGGAACAGCTAGGCCCGGAGGCCCAATATCCTATAAACAATTTTAAAGGCTAAGTTGGATTATATACTATCTAACTTAATTTAATTTATATATATAAAACTGTTAAGCCTAGACTTACGGGTGCTTTAAATAAATAGGAAACTCTAGTAAAAGTATTACTAAGATATTAAACCAATTACCTAAAAGTATCTCTTGTCAAAAATAAAATATATTAGATATTTTTAAAACTCTTTACAATGTACAAGAGTCTTTTGCATTACGAAACCTACTATAACTAAGACCCTATTAAAATTCCTTCCATATGAGTATTAGCGACTCTACGCCATATTATAAGTAAGATTTAGCTCTAGATGAACCGCGAAGGCTTGAGAACTAGGGGCTATATATTACAAAATATCTAGAGAGAGGTAACAATACGTATTCTTACGCTATAGAGTTGTTCAAAATAATTGATAGAATTACTATTAGCTTTCTACTTCCAGAAAAGCAGTTAATATATACTAAATAATCATATTATATAGCATGTCTACCAAGGAGCGGTAGAGTCCTCGTAACTATATAACTTAAGCTAATCAAGTTTTGTAATTTTACTATATAAACGTCGTATTCACATAGGAGGAAGTTATAGTAATTAATTTATTTGAAATTAGAAACTATTTAGTAAAGGGTTTTATATTAGCTGAAATTCTTAACGACGGCCATACGCGTCGCTTACTGCTTATGAAATAGACCTCAGTTATAGATTCGGAGGTATCGTGATGTTTTTATACCCTCAGTTAATTGAGGAAAAGATAGGCTTAGCGCTATGATTTTTAGTTAACGTACCGTTTCGAAATAAGTCTGCTCAGTTAAATAATTATTGATTTGCTCCGGAATTAATCCTGGATTACTCTAGTATACTTATTCAATGCTCCGGGAGCGCTCAGTACACGCACTTCTATCTTGTCCCACGCTCTGGGAGTAATCACTGAGCAAAAAGCGGCCCTGAGCTAGTCCCGTTCCGGAAGAGGAAAGTCCTAAAGTTTCCGCAGAAAAACAATACGGTAGTGAATAAGTTTGGGATAAAGCATTAGGGCTTGGCACTGCAAAACTATTCAGGATAAGGCGACAGCATCTAAGTATAGTATCCTGAGAAAGACAAAGAAACACGGGACGTAGCCCCCCACTGAGGGTGGAGGCATGTAATAGCATCAGATATGCACTTTTTACTTCAAGTTCTTCTCTAAGAGCCCAGTTGCATTCGCGCAGTCAAAGAGTTTCTGGATATACCCGTACTCCAGTATCTTGTCAATGAAGGCGCCAAGGGAAAGTAGCATATCCTCTTACTATAGCCAATGATTAACAAGGCGTACTATGCTGCGACCCTCAAAGGGGAGATAGGAAACTTCAACTTTCAATACTCCGATGAGCTTCCAATCCTGGAAAAGACCGATGGTAGGAAGCTATTCACTAAGGTTGCACATAGTTGTAAAGCACATGTTCGCAATGCAGACAAAGGCGAATCTTGGTCAAGGTTTGCAGCTTGCATGTGGCAAAGGAGGGTATTTCCTCCGTGCGCCTGGCATGAGATTGTGCTTTGTGCAGAGCCAGGGGAGAATAATGAAGCAGCAGCATTTTTGATCACTCTCGCTTTCTAAGGTAGTGGACTTTAGATGTAAATAGCCTACCCCCAAGTTCGACTTCTGTGGCGATGAATTGGACTAGATGTCCTTGAGAATTGCCTTAGGGCTGCAGAACGAGCTGTCACCCATTAAGAGCTTACTTGTATGGGACTCTCGCAACTTCTACGTAGTTGCTAGCCTGAGCATCACGCTCTGTACCCAAAGTGCTTCGTAAGTCAGAGAGGGACGTGTTGCCTTGTTTCCACATAACGCAGCTTGCAATTTGGGACGATTTCTGTTATGGGTCGTAGACACTGACATTCACGCGGACGTCGAAAGTGGTCATATTGCGAGGTATGCTTTCGAAAAGGCCCTGGGTAACTCACTCGTAACTGTCACCTTGTGGTATGAGGACCTAGGTCCTAGGGCGAGGGAATTACTACAACTTTGAACCGATTGACAAGAGAGCGAGGCCTAATACAATACGTCACCTCTTAGTTAAAATCCCTGATCGCCAGCTTACTAGTAATAAGAATAAGCCTTTATACCGCTTCAGAATTGACACTAACTGCCTATGGTTGTGTGATATGTTTCATAATAAACTGAAGCCCTCAGGCTGCATAGAATAATCCATAATGGCTAACCATATCGTGGTGGAGAAGGTACGTGACAGCATTCTCTTGATCCTCCTTTTTTTTTTTTTTTTTTTTTTTTTTTTTTTTTTTTTTTTTTTTTTTTTTTTTTTTTTTTTTTTTTTTTTTTTTTTTTTTTTTGACCAGGGTCTGAGATGTAGAATGTCGCAATGTCATTTTAATTATTGGAGAGTATTATAACTCAATTAATATGATATGGTTTGGTGTTG